CTCTCTCTCTTGCCTATAAAAAGCACCTTTTTCAGGCCCACTTCTTCAGTCCTGTAAAATCATGTGCTCCTCTTACTCTGTTTTCTGCTTTTTGGCCTCCCCTGGACACCCTTATGACATCCCTCCTGATGGGCCATATGCAGCCCGCGTTGTTCTACAGTCGGTTACAACAGTCTCCAGCTGCCTTTCTCATTGATACAGAGGTGCAGTCAAAACTTGTGTGGAGCAAATCATTTGGGGGACTTCACAGGCAGGACTGTGTACGCAGGATGGTGCAGCTGAAATCCGCACTGATGTATACAAAGCAATGGCTCTATCTCATGCTAGGGAAGCCAGCAGCCTAAGGAAAAATAGGATTTAAGTCTGGAAGGGGGGCATTTTCCACTCCTGGCAAATAGCCAGCACAGTCCTGGATTGGACATGTTAGAGCAGTGTTTCTCAAACATTTTTTTTTATAAAGTACCACTTTTAAAAACAATTATAAGTACCTCCAGTCCCTACAGTTTTCAGACATGCAACATTTGTTTCTACCAACGCAACACATTTGTTTAAACAATTTAATAGTAGCCAGGCGAGCGATGAAATTTTTGGGTGCAAAATGTACAAAAATAATAAAGTGCTGTGAAACTTAAAACAAAAATTCAATTTTCTCCAAATTGCAGTTGTGTTAGCTTTCCACCCCCCAGACTTCTCTCGGCCTAAGGGTACTCGTACCACTGGTTGAGAAACACTGCGTTAGAGCTTTCTTGCATCCCTGGGGACAGGTCTCGTTAGCACCCTAATGCTCAGAGTTAAAGATTCCTAAGAGTCCAGTGCTGTCTGCCGAGCCTGCGGCTCCTGCGGGAATGATTCTCCCCAGGCCAGATAAGGAGCTGGGTGATTTGCCAAAGAAAGGAAGATAAAGCGATAGGGCTTGTCTTACAAACCAAACTTGAGGACGAGTCCTGGGGGTCACAGCCCTTCACTACTTTCAAAGTTAATTAACAGAAAGCCGGATGAAGTTCCTCTGCCATCATAAATCTCCCAATATTTCACGTGTCCACTAGCAGGAAGAATACCTCTACCCGCCAGTAGCCTAAGCGATTGCTTTCACATTCCACCTGCCTCTCTGACTGCCAACCACTGGGGTCACCCAGAGGTAACAACAGGGCAGGAAGCCTCTGTGAGCAGCCCTGCCGCAGCGGGGATTAACCGCCTCACTGGGCTGCTGCCCTCAACAATTTTCTGGTCAGTAATTTTTTGAAAGGAGAGTGTGTCTAGTGCTATAGGGAGGGGGCGGGAATGGGTGGAGGAGAAGCCATGGGGGCTGGATTCTTTCCAGGGTGGGAAACCATCTGTCCAATAACTTCTTCGTGATGGAGATTAAATTTTCCTTCCCTCCTCCCCCTGCTCCAGACCCATGAATGGATGGCTGTGCGACATCCTGACACACCATGTAATAAGGAACAGTGTCTCTCTGTCTCCTCCACTCTACTACATTTCTCTTCCTACAACAGGAATTCCTTGTATCATGAGGATTCCCGTCTCTCTCTCTCTCTCTCTCTCTCTCTCTCATTTCACTGCCAATTTAGTAACCCGTTTAGGACAAAATGCTTAAATTTTACTACTGGGGCCCAAACCTGATCCAAAAGCATCAGAAATTTGGGGCATTCAAAGTCCAAATCCCCCTCTCTCTGTTTTGCAAATGCCTCCTATCTTTAAAATGAGCCATTTCCTGAACCCTGAAGCCAGACACCTCTCAAGTTTGGGGTGCTTAAAAGCTACATGCATGCTCTTTTCAGTAAGATAAAGTGAACTGACCTCTCTCTGGGCAGACTCTAAGCATAACGTGCGACCCTACTGATTTGAATGCCATATCTGAAGAGGTGTCAGAGTTGTATTTAGTCATCCAGGCCTGGTCTACACTAGATAAGGAAGGTCAGTTTAAGGTACACAATTCCGGCTATGCACAATGGGTAACTGGAGTCAGCTTATCTTAAACCGAGTTGTGGCGGCATCCACACTGCAGGGGCAAACATTCCCATTAGCTTCCCTTACTCCTCACAGAAGGAGGAGTTCTGGATACTGGCGGGAGCTGCCTCAACGTTCGATTTTAGGGGTCTATACTAGACCCACTAAATCGAACACCAGAAGATCGACCTCCTGAGTGTCAATCTTCCAGTAAGTATAGACATGGATGGCCCTCTAGACTTGCAAGACCTAGGATCTGCAAAACACAGGTAAGGGATCTTCTATTGAACAGAGAGCCCAGAAAAGGTGTCACAGTCATATAAACCAGGTCTATATTTCAGAAGGTTTTCTACTGACATTAGCAAATTGCCTGGAAATTAAGGCTAAAAGCCTTTCCTCTTGTGAGCCCCATTTTCCAATCCTATGCAGAATAACCCACTTAGGTGGAGCTTTTGGCCCTGAGAATTTCTTCTCTTCTCTGTTTTTAATCCTGGTTATGGATGTAGCTTTAGCTGTGTTGGCCCCTTAATCATGAACAGTAATTTGCATTAAGAGTGTTATCTTCTGTGGGGATTTCTGTGTGGTGAAAACTGCATTTGTGAGCATAAACAACCTACAGTACAAATATTCTCTTCTTTTTCCAACTCTGCCTATTGGCTCTCGGGGAAGTCAATGTCATTTAAGTCTGTAGGGACACATGCTGTCCTGTAATTTCCCTTTTGTAAAATGACACTTTTCCGGTTGCTTACAGTGATGTGGAGGTTGAGAAGTTTATTTGTAACTCTTAGAGAGCAGAGGAGGTGGATTGGTTCACAGAATTCGGGCAAACAGAAATACTCCCCAAGAGGTTTACAGAAAGGGGAAATTTAGGGTGTATTTTGGGGGGGGAAAATCTGCCTGGCTGTCAGATCTGTTAGGGTGTGGACTTAATGCTCCATAGGAAGTGGTGGCAGCTCCATCGTTCATTCCAGAGATTTTAAAACTAGACTGTGCCTCACTGGGAAACGGGCTGCAGGGCTGTGTTCTAAATGGAAGATGATGAACTTTTAGGGCCTTTCTGTTTTTAACTTCTGTGCTGCCGTTGAAATAAGGAACATGCTGGCTAGGGATGTAGAATTTTGATTATTTGGCTAATCGAATTATCGATGCAATTTGCATCGACTGTTCGATTAGTCGATAAGGGTGCCTCCACCTTTGAAGTGGCCCCAGTTGGCCCCAGGCTGCACACAGCATTTCAAAGCGGCAGCGCCACATGGAGCCTGGGGTCTGGCCCCAGGCTACACACGGTGCTGCCGCTTCGAAACACCCCCTCCTCTTCCTGCCCCCCTTGCTGCCTCTTTCTGATAGAAGCAGCAAGGGGGGGGAGAACGACTAGTCAGCAAGCCTGTTGACTAGTCATTCACATCCCTAATGCTGGCCCCAGGTTTGTCCAGTTCTGCGTTGGACAGTCTGAATTTCTTAATCTGGTTGCCATTAAGAATTGTTGTCATTCTTGTGACAGGAAGCTTGCTAACTTGAGTGTTGCTCTCAGCTTGTTAAATAAGTGCTGAGGGTATTAATTGCCAAATAAATAAAGGTAACAATAGAGGTTTCTGACACAAAAAGCCCTTGTTGAAGTGTGTTTAGTGTCCCCACAGCCCCATTGTAGGGAATGATCTGTTATACAGAGCATATGTCATTAGCAGATGCAATGTCCCCAGGACAGTAAGTCCGAGACAAAGTTGGTTTAGGAGGAATCGTAGGGCCTGAACCTGTTGCAAAAATCCTATTGAACTGCAAGTCGGAGACAAAGTTGGTTTAGGAGGAATCTTAGGGCCTGAACCTGTTGCAAAAATCCTATTGAACTCATGAAATGGTGAGTGTCCTTGTTCTTGTGGCTTTACCTGAAAACCACAACATTGTTTTATAATAAGCTTCTTGCTTTATTTCGTCCTCTTTTATATGGTATTGGCTCCTCTTCCTCCATCCTCTTGAAAGGAGAATTCACCTTGAGCTGTGGCTTTCAAACTTTGTAGGCTGTGTACTTCTTTCTAATCAATGTAGCCAACCACAAACCCCCATCTGCAATAAGGTCACAATATGCCTATGATTAGATTGCCAAGTCTTGCTGAATAAAATGCGGCCTCAGCAATGTTCTCTATAGGCTGTGCACTTGTGCAACCACTCAGGAGAGATTCAGATGCTGCCCCGTTGATTAGCAGAGCACCCACAGCCCAGCTTTGTTTCTGTTGGTGGTGCACATTTGTACATGCCTCGGTGCACATAAAAATGTATTCCACTCATGGATGGAAAAAATCCACACACGGATGGAAAAGATTAGAGAGAACATTGGTCATCGGCCATTCTAAGATTTTTCTCATATCTCCCCTAACGGGAGCTTGTCTATCCCAGTTGGAAAACCACTGACCTAAAATCATAGTCGATAATTCTAAATGGTTACTTCTCATGTATTGACTAAACTGTATTTTATCTTCCTAGGGAGCAGAAGCTATAACAAAGTGTAGCAGACAGTGTGTGACAAGCAGTAAGCTGCAGTGTGTACATAGTGAGAGAGTGTGTGTCAGTGTTTTTAGGGTTAAATTTAACCCACTTCCCTGAGTTCCACCCCATGTCTGCATGACAAAATTAGGATTAGAGCTGAGAAATTGTGCTTGTTTTGATTGTTTTAATTGCCCATGTGCCTGGCTTATTTAATGATCGCATTATGCCTCTGGCCAATCATGCAGTCCAGAGCTCAGATTTTCAGTGCAGGCTGTTGCCCAGCTTGCAAATAAAAAGCCTTCACCTAGACCTTGCACATCAGTCACCGTCACAAGGGAACCACTTTACTCTGGCTGCCACCAGGACCACCGAAGTTCCCTAGACCCATGTGTTCCATAAATATTTTTGTTTAAAAACCAGCGTGGCCCTAAATGGAACAATGTGACAGAACTGGCCCTGCGCATGCAATTAATGATCCGTGTCAAACTGTTCCAGTTAGAAACAGGTTTTTAATTGCTGTAGATTCAGAACAGGAAACCTTTTACATTAGCAACTGTTTCTTGCGGCAGATCATCCTCTGGGGTCGAACCGAGAAGTGCCTGAAGGAGACCACAGAAGAGATCAGGATGATGGGGACCGAGTGCCATTACTTCATTTGTGACGTAGGAAATCGAGAGGAAGTCTATCAGCAGGCCAAAGCTGTCCGGGAAAAGGTTGGTCTGTGTGGTAGATCCAGTGATGGGCAGAGCTTAGAAAATCTCTCAACCAATGGCAAGTAGGGAAATGTTCTCTGGCAAATTAGGAAAGAAGGGAAGCTAGACAGTCTGTATCTCGCTATGTCTCGAGGATCTGTCCCTTTCCGTTTCTTGCTCTTACCGTTGTGGCCTACAGAGCTTCATTCACCAGTGCTTTGCAACCTTGCATTGACATTTATACCTGGGTAAAGCAGGCATGAAGTGCTACCAACTCAGAAATCTCTACCCACTATCACCGCTTAGTGCCCATTTGACACCAATTTTGTATAGAGGAAACATTTACACAAATGTAAAGCAGCGGAGAATCACTCCTGGTAGATTCATGTGCTGGATCTTGTCATCATATCAAGAAGCTGAGTATGGAAGGATTAGTGATAAATGTGAAAAAGCAAATATCCCATCATAGGTTCAGTCTCTGTTCTCTTGGGGATATTATAGGACTGAGACTGAATTATGAAATCACATGTAAGAAAATCCTATAATCGAAGTCCAACAGTGGCAATTGGCTGTTGATTTGGGGGGTAACTTCTTTGAACTACACATCTCACACTAGTCCTCCTCACACTCCTGTCCGTCTCCTCAGCTGCCTTTCTCCTTTTGAGCATCTCTTAATAGGGATAACTTTTTTACATATCTTTGCCTTTGTTTCAAAGCTGTGTCGAACTTCATTATTAGCCAAATGATATGCTGTGCAACTGCTTGGAAAGAAGAACTGAGAGGACCTCATCTGTGCAAATGTTAAGTACCTGGGTACCTTTTAGAATATTGCAGTAAGCAAAAAGATCACAAGCCCCTTGATGCCAGGAACTGAGAAACGGCTAAGGAGTCACACTGAAGTCGAAGGACTAAGTGAATGCTGTACTTGTGAAAAGAGCTGTTCACGGTAACCTATCAGCTGCCCCCTTTGTCCTTCTGCAGGTGGGTGATATCACCATCCTCGTGAACAATGCTGCCGTCGTTCATGGTAAGAGCTTGATGGACAGCGATGACGATGCTCTACTCAAATCACAACATATAAATACCCTGGGACAGTTCTGGGTAAGATAAGCTCCTGTATCCAGCGAATTCAGACTTGGAAATGAGAGTGACAAATTACAGCCAGTAAACACTTGGCTGCTCTTAGACTTTTCTAAACATTGTTTGGTAAGATCAGCCTGACATGAAAACGAGCCAGGAAAAACAATGTGAAAGGCAAAGGCCAGAGGAGAGAAGTCTGAGGAAAAAATTGAGTTTGACAGATTCCCTCAAATTGATTTCAGTTACTTCTTCTAAAATATCATATTAAAGGCTTCCAGTAATTATAAAGTCTCTGATGCTCTTTTAAACCCACCCTGTGACTTACAAGAAAAACTCAGATTTCCTTTGAGAAATCCCAGGCGCACAGAAGAGTTTCTTTGCTTGGCGCACATCTGGAACATGAGAGAAACACAACCAGATGCATGGCTGCACTATTCAAGGAAGAGAGCTTGCGTGAAACTCATTGTTTCCAATTAGCTCAATTAAAAATAATGTATTTGTACTGTTCCTCTCACTGTTGAAGTCTTTATCCTACACAATGTGCACCTGAGCTTGAATGGAGCATGATCTTTATGGCCTTTCATTTTGTGCATGGCTTAATGTTGTGATAACAAAGGTTTGGTGGTGGTCGTCAGAAGTCAGATTAACTGAGGCGTTTTGGAAACACTCACAGAGCAGCCAGGCTTCCTTCAATGTCAAACTGAGCCTGAATCATGAGGTTTGAATGTACTTATTAGGGATGTGAAAGTGTAATCGGTTAACTGGTAAGCCTCACCCTTAACAGATGGGGCTTACCCATTAAGGTTAACTGGTGGGGGCGGGAGTGGTCCCCCCTCACCCTCTCTTAATTGGTTAACAATATATTTAACCCCGTTAGCCAATTAAATGGGATTTTACATCCCTAGTAGTTACTTTGTGTACCCCAGCATAATTATGTCACTAGGTTTGTTTTCTCAGTGGCAATAATTTCTGTTGTATCTCTGCTTAATGAAGGGTTTCTTTGGTTTTTTTTCCCCTCTTCAGACCACCAAGGCCTTCCTGCCACGGATGCTGGAGCTGCAGAATGGGCACATTGTTTGCTTGAACTCTGTCTTGGCCTTGTCGGCCATCCCTGGTGCCATTGACTATTGCACCTCCAAAGCCTCTTCCTTTGCCTTTATGGAAAGCCTGACCTTGGGCTTGCTGGACTGCCCCGGAGTGAATGCTACAACAGTCCTGCCATTCCACACCAGCACAGAGATGTTTCAGGGCATGAGAATAAGGTCAGTCTTGGGGGGCTGGAGTAAAACAGCTCATTGAAATAAATCGACTCAACCCGTTTGTCAGTTTGGTGTTTTGTTTTGTTTTTTTAAAGAGAATTTGATGTTCTGATCTGTCTGCCTGGGGGGATGTGATGCCCCATCAAGTTTTGCCCTGTTCAGTTCCTTTTTTTTTTTTTTGCTCAACAAGTTTTGCTGGTATTTGCGGGGGGAGAGGGAGGGCATGAGGGTTTTTCAAAAATCAAAAAGGGGGGCGTGATGCCAAAAAGTTTAGGAACCACTGCTCTAGGGGTATGTCTACACTGCAACACTCTTTAGAAATAACTAGCGCTATTCCAAAATAACTTAGTCCATGTCTACACAGCAGGCAGTTATTTCAAAATAGTGTCAAAATACGGTCAAGCTGGAGGACTTCTTACTCCAACTCCTGAAACCCGTATTGTACGAGTTGTAAGGGAAGTCGGAGGAAGAGTGCTCTATTTTGAAATAAGTGCTGTGTAGACGCTCCCTATTTCGAAATAAGATACGCCATTGACATAGCTCCGTTTGCGTAGCTTATCTTGAGTTAAGCTCTGCAGTGTAGACTCACTCTAGGCCTCCAGAAATCATCAAACTGGTTCTTCTGATTTGCTGGCATGCTCCCAACATGCACAGTTCAACTTGCCTTTTCTATGTGAGGGTGTCTTTTGTCAGTGTTTCTAGAGAAAGAAATTAGAAGTGACTTTGCATGGGGAGCCAGCTATAGATGTCAGAGCAGAGGAATCAAACAGGTGGTTGAGGTTGTTCAAAGGGGAGATTAGTCTTACCAATTACTTGGGAATCCACAAGATAAGTTCCTAGTTCCTTTTGTATTCCTACTGAAGGACTCAATGAATGGGAGAATGTTCCACCAGCTGTGGTAAGAACAGCACTGGACTCTCCCCTGCTCCTGAAAAATTAACCATGTTCAAAGGGCTGAGGACTGGCCAAATTAGCCCTTTACCGGGGTGCATCTGCATCTCTTGAGAAGTACCACTCACAGAGTTAGTGCATCGTCGGCCTGGGTGAATGGTGCACTGTGGTGTTGCACTTGGCACTTGGAAATCCATGTTCCTGCCAATAATTTTTAAAAAAAGGCAGGAGAGCGGAAGAAGCTGGAGTGGCCTCTTTTACAATGCAGCAGATGTTCTCCTCACCCTTGGGGCCACCCCAGCTTTGCTGGTTTGGCTAGTAAGTAATAGGACCATGAGAAGTCTTGTGGCACCTTACAGACTTAACAGATATATTGGGGCATAAGCTTTCGTGGGCAAAGACCCACTTCGTCAGATGCATGTGACAAAGTGGGTCTTTGCCCATGAAAGCTTATGCCCCAATATATCTGTTAGTCTTCAAGGCACCACCAGGCTCCTCATTGTTTTTGCTCATATGGACTGACATGGCTACCCCCCTGATAAAAGCACAGACTAACACGGCTACCCCTCTGATAATAGAACCAGGGTCTCATCTTCGCTCTGCTCCTCCTTGCCCGTTGTGTAGGTGGTCGAATGCCAGCAGCAATTCAAAGAACCCAAGCACCTGGCTTGTGCTGCATCCTAATCAGGTAATGCATTTACTTTGTCATTTCTTCACTCAGGTTCCCCAATCTATTCCCCCCCCTGAAGCCGGAGACTGTGGCCAGGAGAACAGTAGAAGCTGTTCAGCTGAACCAAGCCTTCCTCCTCCTTCCGTGGACAATGCATGTACTTGTCATTTTGAAAAGGTAACTATTTCACTCTTCTGTGGCTGCCTCACCCACTCCTCTTTTATCCTTTGGGCAGGGGTGGGAGGCAATTCCATTTTCTGTCTGCTAAACTGAATCAGTTTGGCAGTCGCATGATACAATAGTTACCTAGGGCGAGATTGTCCCCTCCTACAGAAACCAGAAGGCGTCAAGGATGGGAGAACATTTCGCCAGGTTCCCTTTGTATCGTTGTCCTAATCTTGTTTCATCGGATTAACTTCCCCCTCCTGTTCCCTAATGTGGAAGCAGATTCAGCCCTGAAAACTAGTGGGACCCTGAGATCTGTTTCCAAGAAATGTCTGTCTTTTTAAAATCAAATAGACAAATGTATTAATTAGTGAGGCCCTCCGCAGGCTCCAGGAACTGTAAAACATGTATCAAATGTTAATCTTCTAAATCTAGAGACCACTATTTCTGTAAAGCTTTGAGAGCGTACAAATGTAAACTAAATTAATTATTTGTATGTGATCGCTTTTTTTTAAGGGAACTTTTAACTGCTTGCAGAAAGTGAATCCTAGTCTCTCGCGCTCTGAAATAATTAGGAAAAGCATATTTTGAATGTATTGTCTGTGAGCATGGTTATCAGCAATCCTCTTAAAAATATAGCTCATCCAATCAGAGAATTGAAACAATGCCATGTGATTGACGTGACCAATTGCAACTAAATGACACACATCCCAGATTTCAGCTAGGAAATCAAAAATGTTAAATAGCTTTCCAAATAAACACGAGAAAATCTTCATCAATTCATAGATGCTTTACAACCAGAAAAAAAGATTATTTGTGATGAATTATTCACTTACCACAGTAGACAACAGGAAAGTAGCACTTCATTTGGGATCATGTGATTAAAAAGGTAAATATTTAAGCAGAGAGATAGCAAGATACATATGCAGTTGATCAATATTATAAATCTTGAGAATTTATATTGAACAGATTCTTGTAATTTTAGAGACATTGCATAGACACAGGAAATAGGAGTATGGAGGCGTACTAAAGCACCTCCCAGATTTTGTGACCCATATTGTGGTTCCAGCCACCAGTCCACATTTGGGGTGTCAACCACTAGCTACATGGAGTCCCAGCCACTGGTCCCGCAAGCTCTGCTGTCAGCTGCTAGGAGCTCCACTGTTGCCTAGGGTCTCAGCAGTTCTGCTTGGGTCCCCAACCATCAGCCCCACACTTGGGTTACCCAGTCACCTCCAGCTGTGGTGCCAGCCTGGGTCAGTAAGGGGCATGGACGGGAGAAGGTATGGAGGGGGGTTGCCATTTAGCACCCTCACTCTAAAAAAGTTCCCGTACTTCTGAGGCATAGGTTGATGCCTTCTTGATTTGTTCTAACAGGGCCTGTCTAACAAGCTGTCTCTTAGGCCACACAGGAGATCAATCTTCTGGTGTTCAATTTAGTGGGTCTAGTTAAGACCTTGTAAATTGAACGCCGAGGGCAGCTCTGGGTGGCGCCGGTACTCTCAGCAGTTGCTAGGGTAAAAGAAGCCAGTGGGAGTGTTTGTTTCCATTGTCCTTCCTCTGTGAAGACAGCGCCAAGCTCGGTTTAAAGTAAGCAAACTCCAGCTATGTATTTTACGTCGCTGTAGTTGCATACCTTAACCTGACCTTTCAGGTCGAGTGTAGACCTGGCCTCAGTAGGAAGAGTCTTTATAGCACTTTCTCCTTTAGGGCAAGTCCTGTCAGGTTCTGATCACTGCAGGCCCCACTGAAGTTATTGGAAACTGCCACTTGCAAGTCTGGACCTTTGGTATTTCTGACAGAACGATTACTGCCTCCTGCCATGTAGCCACCCAGTTTTTTGTGTCTGTGTGTTTGCATGTCTTCGCATTAGAACAGATGAAAAGGTTGTATGGTGTGCTTACTTCCTTTCCCTTTGCTTCCTCCGCAGCATTCTCCCTCAGTCAGCACTTGAAGAAATCCACAAATTTTCTGGAAGCTACACTTGCATGAACACGTTTAAAGGGAGAACATAGACCTGGTCGTAATTAGACTCATTCTAAAGTGAAGCCAACACAGGCAGCAACATCCTGGCAAGATTGTGAATCAACGGTCTTGGCTTTCAGCCTGCCCTGCTCACATGACTTGTGCTGCTCTCGGGCAACACATTTCTTGCTGGTCATATCCATAGCAACACGACCTTTGCACAGGACTACCCAGCTTGACTGGACTTTTGGGAAGAACGACAAAAAAATTGGAGATGTTTGTACAATGTTTTAATTCTTTAGAGTCTGATTGTTAAATCTGCTCATAGTTTTAAGATGTAATTGTTTTAGGCTGTTCCGAGCAGGGAGCCGCACAATGCTCCCCACTCTGGGAAGAGCAGCTAGTGTTAATTTCAGTTCTGCATTTTTGAATGAGAAATGTTTTTTTAAATGGCTTTGCAGGGTTACTAGCTAAGGTTGTTTAGTGGGACCCCACTGCTAGGGTGGCTATGCTTTGCAGCCTTTGGAGCAGATTGTTCCTCAAAGTCCTTTTGTGTCTTTGGAATGGGGCAAACAGCTGGTCTTCTCAAGAGCCACCCAAGAAGCCCTCTGTGTCAAGGACAGAGCTAGCCATAGCAAGTCTTTACTTCTGCCTGTTGAAAGGCTGAAGTGGGAGGCTCAGACAGATGAGCGAATAAGTGTATTTCATGAGATGGACAATCGGAATAGCAGAATATCTCGTCTGCCACTGAAATCATATATGGAAAGTAATTGTCTTTCTGAATACTTTTGTTCATTTATGGTGAAATATAATTTCCTTTTAGCAATAATCCCTACATTTCCATTCATTTTAGCTAGTGTTGGCTTGGAAATGAACAAACTTTAGGGCCTTCCTTAGAATACCCCTGTTCACACAAGCAGTCCTCCACTTACCAGGAGATCAACACTGCAGAGATCCATCTCCCTGGTCTAGTAAGGACGTGCTAAATCGACCACTGATGGCACCCCTGTTTACCCTGATACTCCACCGGGTCACAAGGAGTAAGGGAAGTCAATGGGAGAGTTTCTCCCGTGGACTTCCCACAATGGGGATACTGCAGAAATTCACCCTAAGGTATGTTGACTCCAGCTATGCTGTTCATGTAGCAGGAATTGTGTATCTGAGGCCAACTTCTTCCCCGGGGTAGACTTGGGCTTTGACATGCCAATTATGTAGCAGGAATTATGTATCTGAGGCCAACTTCTTCCCCAGGGTAGACTTGGGCTTTGACATGCCAATTCAAAGAGGGGGTAAAAGAGGCATTTCACAGAACGTAGTGAGCCCCCCATCCCTGCCCGCAGATGGATTTGCTCCTTCTCCGCATGCTAAGTGCTGCCTGTTACTTTCTAACTAGGATGCCACCCGAGATTCTCCCTCACACACACCCCCTTAGCTCTCTCCTCCCCTCCAGGTCTCTGAGTGGACAGCAGGTCAAACAGCAGTCACAGTGGGGGAGAGGTATGCAGCAAACAGAAAATAACGAGGAAAACATTGGCCTCTCTCTTCAGAATTAGTTGGGCAAGAGGCCTCCCTCTGGTGCTAAGAGAAGGAATGTTTTTATGAACACTTCTATGAAATAGTTCCTCGTTGGTCTGGATGCATTCTGAAGACTTTTGTTTTACTGAAGATCCCTCTGCAATGCGTGTTGAGGTTGTCTGTCCTCTCAAACATAAGGTTGGCATTGGGGAAGCTGGAGGCACGGCTGATGTAGGCATGCTTTGTAGAAGCCTTCAGGCTTTCTCAAAAGAATGTCTGCCCTTCAACTTATTTTAATATTGGTTTTCCTCGCACTCTCCACCCGCCCCACTCCTCACCCCACCCTTATTTTAAAAAATCCCTATATCACTATTGCACATTTCAGTGCCACCATCTTGTAGCCAGATGTCAAGAGAGAGGGTCTGGAATAAATCGAAGACAGAGGTTCTATATTTATGAGCCTGTCGGAGAAGGAGTCTAGAAGAGGCTGCGGGAACAGGTCATAGAAGTTTCCTCTGAAATTAGCAACGCACTTTCAGGTTTTGTCTACTTGTTCCAACTTGTGACCCAATAGAAAAGGATGCACATTGTATTTTTTTTCCCTGTGGAGAAGGCTGCTGCTCCCCTGTTAGAATTAGATTGCTAGGAAAACTTTACATGTTCTGGGAGTTGTTCTGTCCTGACGTAAAGCCTGCGGAGTGCCAGGAGTTTAAGTGAGGGCAAATGTCAGTGTTGTCAAAGGCTGGTATTTGCAGGGGATAATTTGCGAAGCAAGTGAATGGGGGATGTGAGTGCCCCTCCCCCGCCCTCGGCAAGCAAGGCCAGTGATATTCGCCACTTTACATTTTTTAATGAAAATCCACACCAGTGAGTGCAACCTGGTGCACTTGGGAGACAAACAAATTGCCCTCTTCGCACGTATCCTTTATGAGGAGCTGGTTTAGAAGAATGCAGAGGGTGACCTCCCTGCACAATGAAGTCCTGTACCCATATTCCTCTCCAAGTTAAGCATTGAGGGAGCCTATTTGCATAACTCAGTTGGGACAGTAGAGCCGACCTGGGAGACCCTTTTATACTTCTCTGAACTGTGGTAATCAGTGGGGGTGGGAGTGACTAGATCTAGTTTACAAGCCTTTCAGATTGCTCCCAGTACACCGCCACATTCAGATACTAACATAGTGTTCCCCTTTCCAAATGTCAAAAAGCAACAGGCCACATGCAGGCTCTGCTTGAGAGGTGCTTTGACATTAGTGGGGACACACCGGTGGGAATGTGGCCCAATGTTGTTTTTCTTCCTTTGAAATCCAGCCGCTTTTCTGCCTGCAAAAGGATACAGGGCAGCCTCGGATCAGCCACTTTGTATTCTTTGCATACCAGCACTGGCTTTAATAAACTGATTCAAGGTGATATATATTGTTGCTCTTTGGCTGAGCCTGTCATAAGCTTTTGGCCTCCGGTAAGAGGTTGCCAGCTTCACCAGGCAAACAGCAGCACAGAAAGCAGTCTCTTTACAGCCACATTCTGCATCTTGCTAAGACCCACACATCTGGGTATTTCAGCCTTACCGCACTGCTGGCTCTAGCCCCAAGCTGCAAGAAGTCACTGGCAGTGGGAAATACCCTGCCCCCTCTGGCATTCCCTCAAGTTTATCTGTCTCCCCAGGGTTATCCTGGGCTCTTTTGAAGGAGGCTTTCTCCACTTTTTCCAATTCCAAACTCATATTTCACCTCTAGGATGTCTCCAGCTAACTCCCAGACCCGCATGTCCCTTTTGGGGGGATTGCCCCCTCTGACACCACCTAGGGTTGTCACCTCTGAGGTACAAAACACTGAAACCTGAAGCCACCTCAAAATAGGAATGAGCCTAGACGAACTGGAGAGATGGCAAACCCCATGGTCCATTTCCCTTTTGCCTGAAGGCTTCAGGGAGCGAGGTAGGCCGAGAGAGGCAAAAGGAAAGATCTGTGTCTCCTTGTCTAGCTCCCACTAGGAAAAACAGGGAAAAAATTCTGTTGAAGGGGCAAAAAGGGAGACCAAAGTTGTTGAGCAAAAGGAAAAAAAAGTCTCCAAGGACTTAAGCCAAAAAAAAATGTTTTTTAAATAAAACAGCATTAAAATAGCATGTCCCCCTTAAGTGCAGGGATAGGAACAGGGGAGCACTAAGACCCAGGGGAAGCATTGCTTTCCCTAGGTCTTTTAGCCAGCAGCCATTTTGTGCTGGCAGCCTTGTGAACCAGGTAAGCAGAGAGGCTGGGGGTGTTGGGGGCCAGAGGGGAGTTTGGGGGAAGGGGAGGCTGGGCACTGAGTGTTTGTAGGGTTGCCAGGTGCCCGGCATTTTCGCCTCCTGGCCTGGACTATCCGGGTGAATACCAGACACTTGGCAACCCTAGCCCCCACCCGCAGGAGGGGAATGATGCCATGAGGGCACCGTGCCAGATGAAGGAGTGGGCCTGTGTCTCTAGAGCCTGCACCAGCAGCCACGTTCCTGAGCATGGATTTGGTTGCCTCCTCCCCACAGGCAGGAGATGGAACGCACAGGACCAGCATGGCTGCTATCAGCACTACATAGTGCTGTGCTTTTGGGCCCAGCTCCCTCCTCCTCCTTCCACCTCTACAGCAAGCCACCCTACTCAAGTAACTCCTATTCATATCTCAGACAGAGACCTCCAAGGAGAACACAGCCCCAACTGGCCCATGTGGATACAATAGAAAGGGATAGAGCCTCCTGGGCATCCATTCTGCATTCTCACAGTCCTTCCCTGAGAGACGAATGGGGACGTTGCTGGCTGCTCCCCTTTGTCAGGGGGCAATGGGGAAGTGCACCGTTTGCTGCTTTCCCCCTCTGTCGGGGGAGCACGAGGGGCAGATGAACCTGCTCCAGCAGGAGCTGCAGTGGCCATGGGAAGGTGCTTCTCACCTGGCCCCAAGCTGCTGCAGTGAGAGGAGGCTGCGGTACGCAGCCTGCAATACTGAACCTCTCCTCCCTAGCCCCACCCCAGAGTCAAGATTTAAATGAAGCATGGATGTTTTCATGTTATTTTTCAAAAAACAAAAATTAATTCAGTTAAAGACCCATGCTGGGTAAATCTAATAATACATATATAATTTTAAAAACCCAGACATAACTGATAGACTCTTTCAGGCAGATAAGTCAGAACTAGGCTTAAGCAGTCTTCTGCAGCTCTAGACAAGCTATAATTATTTATCCTTCTTTATGGGGGGGATTTGATAGAGGGCTATAAAATCATGACTGGTGTGGAAAAAGTGAATAAGGAAAAGTTATTTATTTGTTCCCATAACATAAGAACTAGGGGTCACCAAATGAAGTTAATAGGTAGTAGGTTTTAAACAAAAGGAAGTTTTCTTCATGCTGCATTCAGTTAACCTATGGAACTCCTTGCCAGAGGATGTTGTAAAGACCAGGACTTAATAGCTTTCAAAAAAGAGCTTTATAAATTCATGGAGGTTAGGTCTATCAATACTGTGTCCCTAGCCTCTGTTTTGTCAGAGGCTAGAAATGGGTGACAGGAGAAGGATCACTTGATTACCTGTTCTGTGTTCTCCCTCTGGGGCATCTGGCATTGGCCCTGTCAGCAGACAGGACACTGGGCTAGATGAACCTTTGGTCTGACCCAGTATGGCCATTCTAAAATCCAAATCCACACTCATGGTCTCTGGGATGATATCATCATAGAAGATCTCCTGCCACACACAAAGACTGAAACCCTCATCTACTGCTCTAGTCGCCTTACCCTAAATATCATGCTATTACCTCCAGCTACCTCTGCAAGCTGCCACATGTCCTAATGGCCTGTTTACTGCTCCCAGTTGCCCCTACAGGTTGCCCTGTCTTGATGCCATTTTCACCTTCTTCCTGCAGCTGATGGCTGGGGGGTGACAAGATGAAGAATCACTCAGATGTGTAAGAACAAGCAAGGAAGTACTGGGCTTCTTCACCCAACATTTACTTATATCTAGCATCCCTGGTCTCCACTTTATAAGGCCGTACGGCTCCTTAACCGTGTCCAAATTCAAGCGGGCATCACTCCCAAAGATGAACTTCCATCATAGTCAGGGATTCAACATTTCTCACTTGGAGAACTACACATATTGGTCTTCTCGCTGTACAGGCATGTTTCAGACAGCCAGGGCACGGATGCTGTCAGTCAGCATAACCTAACAGAAATAAAATATAAATAAAAGCAATATTTGTCACTTGACACCATCCACATGCAATGCTTGCATGGATGGCC